ATTATTATTTAGAAAGTCGAGCATAAACAAAGGGCATTCTTGCCGAGAAAAAGGGCCCGATCCCCACAATCTCTTGGACAACAAGAATGCAGGGCCGGGACCCGATATTGGATTCCCCGTTGCCCTGGGGGGCCGGCCAAGGGGCGGAATGGAGGCTTCTTTCGCTCCGGATCCCCACTTTTGCCAGTTTCTTGATCCTTGTTCTGTACGACTGAACAGAATATCTCTTGGAAGCAGTGGCGCGACTCAACCGAAGGGAAAAATTGCCTTTTTCACCGGAACCAACTAGGGCCGACTGGAGCGCTCGCTCTAGGAGAGTTTGGCCTGGAGAGAACTTGTGATTTTTCTGCAAACCCCGCGTCTACGCCCCTGCGTTAAAGCTGGCACATCCCTCGGGACTATTTATCAATGCGACTCTTCCTTGGGCCAGATACTTCGGATTTTTCTCCGCTTTTTTTATCTATCGTCAACGGCTGGAATTCCTTTTGCAGCTTCGCAAACGATTTCTCTCTTCCATTGTTTTCCATCAGTCTTATATGGAGGAATGGGACTGTTTGAAGGCGAGGACCTAATTTTTTGCGCCTTTCGGCGATGTCAAATGGACGATGGGAGCTGAAAGAGGAAGACATCGACTGGGGCCGAAAATGGAGATTTGTCTGGAAGAAACCTGGATCGGATGCTTTGGCCGCAGGGGGATAATGCAGGAAAATCAAACCGCAGGACAAGCAGTTGCGGGCCTGCGACACCTGTTTCTGCAGGCCGCATTCCTGTAATGGTTGCCATTGTTCAGCTCGCTCTGGCCGCCAGATGCCAATTCCAAGACATTTCTGTTATTATTAATCGCTCATCGAAATCCATAAGGGCTTTTGCACTGATTAACTGCTGATTTTCGGATGTTTAGGCCCTAGTCTGCAGGATACACAGTCTGGTTTAAACCAGCTGAATGCAATTCATTTTCCATTCAGGAACGCAACTGGCATCGGTTACCTCACTCGCGCACCAGGATTTTGTGAGAGATGCAACATGGACTGCGGGTTGCTACGTTCCAACTTGGCACCTTCCGCGCTTAAAAGATATCTCAGTTTTGAGCGGAGAAAATTCGGAAAATTTATTTTTGCAAGTGTAGAATTACAGTCTTTTCGAGGTTTAGTCTGACCATATCACAAAAGTGGGTGAATTCGGCAGTGTAAACCGAAGGAGAAAGAATTAATTGCAACAAAAAGCCATTGAAATGGTTGAGAAAACGCGGAGTTTTCTGATTGAAAGTTACCTGTTACAATTACGCCCCCTTGATTCGAATCAGAGGGCATCAAACGGATCCACGTGCGCGGGGAATCAATTCCCTTTATCCATGGGGACCCCCCGAAGACGTGTCGGCGGTAGGCCCATATAGATCCAGAGATTAACGGCATGCTCCAAGGGATTATCCATTGTCGATCGTTGGCACATATTAAATTCTTTGTTTGGTCGCAGGACTAATGCCGTCATTGTGTCGTCGCGTTTCAGCAGGAGACGCGTTTCCCCGGGCTGAAAGGGTGGCCGGAATCACCTGCAAAAAAGCTAGTTGGCCAAAGTTTTCGGAAACTTGGAAGTTTTCTGGCCTGGATTGGTCTTGCCCTGCGACGCAAATATATCGGGAGAACCTTGTCTGGCCTTTGCGCCAACCCTAAAGGCCCGTGACGTATTCCGTGGCCTGACTTTTAATAAAACTCTTGTCTGTTTACATCCCCTGATAGATGACTGCGCCCTGGAGGGATATTAAACCGAGGGCCTACTATAGGGCAATCGACGTTCGGGGGGATGATTTTCGCATTTGCAAGCTGAATAATGTTGTTCAAGAGCATCTTGATTTGCCGAAAAGCTTTCACATGTTTTCTCTTGTGGTTTTCACACCAGTAATTTAGCATCTGCTAAATGTCCTCATCGATTTCTTCAGCTCAAAGAGCAGCATCTTCCCATAAAAAATGGCTGTCTTTTGCTTCTTGGGCAAAAAGCCATGGAAATTGAAATGTCGGGTAATCATGCGAAGGAAATCACACTCGCAAATTTGTTGTAAAGTGAGGGGAAGTTTGAGTGTGTCGTGTGCCGTTCCAAGTGTTTTATCGGAAATAGATTTTATTATGCGACATCGACAACCCTCGTTCAGAAACATATTGACTTGTTGAGAAACAATCCCCGTGGATGGTTATCGTTTTTAACAGATTTTTATCGCACGGGTTCACACAGTCACTCGACTTAGAGGAGAAAGTTAAAAATTATATTGTAACTGCCCTGGAAGTGGTAGGAGCATGGAAGTTAGTGCTTTATGCGTGATTAATGTTGCGATACATTTCTGATTCCGGCCTGTTAGTGGAAATTCTTTTCAAAAAATATTTGGGAATGAGCTAAATGAAACAGAAACATACGCATTTTTGCGCCGAAAACAGCCAATGCTGCTGGCTTTTTACTGAAAATTTCGCGTTTTTGCAATCATCAAGCGTTTAGTGACGAATTCCAAACTTGTCCTGAGTGCTCGCGTTTAAAAATTAACTATGACTAAACTAGGGGAGATGAAAACATAGGAATTCCTGTTCCGGAAAGAGCAAATTGTGGTCCTTTTTTTGTAGAAAATCTCGCTTTTCTCCCATCATCAGGCATTTGGTGGCGAATTTCCAAACTTGACCAACAGCCGCTCTTGACACGGCTAGCAAGTAAAAGTCGCGTTTAAAATGAATTTCGACTAAACTAAAAGAGATGCAAACATGGACATTTCTGTTCCGGAAAGAGCAAATAGTTGTCCTTTTTTGCTGATAAGTTCGCTTTTCTCTCATTATTAGGCATTTAGTGTCGATTTTCCAATCTTGACCAACAGTCGCTCTTAATATGGCTTGCAAGTAGAAGTCGCGCTTAAAAATGAATTGCGACTAAACTCAGAGAGATGCAAACATGGGCATTTCTGTCCCGGAAAAAGTAAATACTTGTCGTTTTTTGGCGAAAAGCTCGCTTTTCTCTCATCATCAGGCATTTATTGGCGATTTTCCAAAATTGACCAACAGCTGCTCTTGATGCGGCTTGCAAGTAGAAGTCGCATTTAAAAATGAATTGCGACTAAACGAAGGCAGATAGAAGCATGCAGATTTTTGCTTTGACAAGAATGAAGATTGGTGTCTTTGTGCTGAAAGTTTCACCTGAGCGCCATCAACAACATTTTATTAACGAGTTTTCAAACTTGTCCAGCAATGTTGCGACTGGTATGGTTGGGCGCATTAAAATACATCTGTGACTAAACTAAAGACGAGACACAAGCCTGATAATTTTTGCGTTCACAAGATTCCCTCTTTGTGTTTTTGTCCCGAAATTTTTGATTTTCTGGCATCATCTATGGTTGAGTGACAAATCTTTGCTGTACATGTCCATGGACTGAATGGAATCCAGGTGGAAGTCCCGTTTGAAAATCCATTGAGACTAAACAAAAGGGCCATACAAGATTTTTTTGTGGAAGAAACTAAAGTTTTCTCTTCTTACTCTGAGTAATTCAATGCTTTAGTTGGGCATTTAGTGACGCTTTTCCAACGCCTTTTCCTTTTCGCTTGCAAGTGTAGTAGTTTCATTTAAAAATTAATTGCGAGTCGATGAAAAGAGGTGGAAATCTGGGGAGGTCAGAGTTGAAAAGAGCAGAAGTTTTTGTCCTTACACTGAAAATTTCGCTTTGCAGTCATCATCAGAGGAATTTGCAAATGTTTTTGCAATAACCGCGTCCGACGTGACCCGTAAGAAGAGCAGCGTTTACAAATCAACTGCGGCCAAACGAAAGGAGATGGTAGTATGGGGATTTCAGCATTGAAAAGAGCAAAGAAATGGGGTTTTGGCACTGCGAATATTTTTTGGTTTTGTGCATAAAATCCCGTGGCGTAAGAAGCAACGGTGCTTAATCCAACGTCTCGTTTTCTGGTCAAAATCCGCTGATACACTTTGCAGGATTTTGGCAATTGGCAATATCTAAAAATAGGATGGAAACGCATGTAGAAACAGGCCAAAAGGGCAAACAAACCGAGCGATAAGATAATCGAGCTCTTGGGTATCGGGGAAATAAGCCTCAAATTGCAGGTGTACAATTGTTCAATCATCAAGTCGCACCTGTGTACCCAATCGGGTTCATAATCCGTGAAGGAATACTTTTCCTCTATTTACTCACTCGTGATATTTGCTCTGGATATCTGGAAAGCGAATGCCGACCTGGGCAAATATGTTTATTAGGTGTTCAATAACTCACCTGAGCCGATCAGCTGCTGGTCTGGAGATTCCGGTCCAGATTGGACACGTGTTTGATTATTTTTGCCGCATCATTCATCAATTTTGTGGCTCATTAAGTGGTCATTCGCTTAGCATATTATGCCGCCCCAGTGGCCACCCCCATGAACAATTATTCGAAAGTCACCCCAACGAATCGCTAATATCTAATTTCACTCTTTAAAATACCTACGTCTTTATCTGCATGATAAACTAATGTCTTTTTAACTTCACCACCCCTTTACTGCCGATTTTACCCCCTCTGATTATTGTGTTGGGCGGCTGGGGTGGAGGCAGGTGCAGTCGATAGTGGCTGTTATTTAAACAATCGGCCTAACATGGAAATTTATTGCAAAAAGTGAGCGAAGACGCCGATTTTGGGGATCTGTTGGACACGTTATTATTGGACGCACCCTCGACCCTATCCAGCCCTTAATGGCACTATCGTTAGCTGCATGGGGTCGTGTAGTATTAGCCGATCTTACACCATTACAGGCCCGAATTCCACATTGTCAAAGCATATTGAATCCCTAATGGTCCATACATTACCTGAAGACAATGATCCTTCTGTCCTGAATGGAAACTACTGCCACAGCTACTGCACTAAGTCGCCTTGTGCAGAGAGCGTCTGTTAATTAGAAATCACTATAAACGTACCTTTATCTGCCAGGGAAATAGTGCAGGAATTTGGAAAACCGAAGCGATTTTTTGGATAAATAATACTGCAGAAGCATCAGTCTTTGGATTTATTCGTTATGAATCGATCAAAATGCCAAATCTAGAAGCTGCTTTATATTGTTGCTCTGGAAAAGCACATGAAATATTCACATAGTATGTACAGGGTGGCTTGCTGATGCACCGCCGCATGCTGGCCTAGAAAACCATCCAGAGACATTTCCGCAATTGCATGCTCTAATTTAACAAAACTAAAATATTGGGAATTTTGCAACCCATTCGTTCCTCCCTCCAACTCCAACTGATTCCTCACCAAGTCAGCCAGCAAAACCTTTCAGGGCTCAGCCGCATCTTCCCCACAAAAGTAGGAGTTTTGCATGGAGTAGAGCCGGTCGATGGGGTTCAGACCTGGGAGAGTGTGCGGATGATGTTGGTGAGCCGCTGGCGGTTGGACGAACATGGAGGAATTGCTCGAGTCGATGGAGTTGGGGAAGGGGAGTCCCAGGTAGTTGTCCTCCCTTCGCGACTTTAAGTCCAACCCTGAATGTCTGGGGAGTGAGGAGGTTGTGGCTTTAGGTTGTCAAAGGTTTACCTGAGAAGGAGTGTATCTGTAGAGTGTTGTTCCCTTTGTAGAAGAAGGCATCAGAATCGATTTCTTCCTTGATGCTGGAAAAGTGGGAGTTATCTTGGTTTTGGAGCGGGTTTTCTTCGCCGGCGGTTGTTTCCGTGTCGCTGCAGCTGTCGTTGAAGAATGGCGTGGAGTGGGGACCTGCAACAACAAATTCCGTGCTCCAGAACAGCCAAAGGTGGCGCCTTGGGCAGATTACTTGGTTCCTCCTCCTTCACACTCAGCTTCTCCTTCTCGCTCTCCGAGTCCTTGCCGCCTTTGTCCTGCCGGGCCTTTTTCTGGATCTTCTTCATCTTAGCGCGCTGGTTCTGGAACCAGACCTACGCAAGCAGGATTATCCGTACTATCCAGAGCCTCATTCCAGTTTACCTGCACAATCCGGACACTCAGCCCGGTATCCTTGGCCAAGGCCTCCCTCACTTTGCGGCAGGGCTTCGGGCTCACCTCGAAGGAGGCCTTGAAGGCCCTTCGTTGTTGGGTGGTGAGGATGGTGCGCGGACGTTTCGGCCCTCGGCGTCCATCATGCGATCTGGTCGACTGGATCAGGTCGTCGCATATAAACTCACCTGCAAAGTTTCCTGTGCCAGTTTAAAGGGCGGAGTTTCCAGCGCAGTGGGCAAATTACCATAGCCGAAGCCCTGCATCATTTCCACCTCTTTTTCGTAGTCGATCCGACAGAAGAGTTGTCCCTGTTTGATCACGTAGAGGTCGCCCTTTTGCAGTCTGATGCCGCACACCACGCAAACGAAGCATCGAAGATGGAAGATGCTTTCGCTTGCGCGCATCACCAGTTCTTCTGGCGAGACTCTTTCGGAACAGCCCAGGCATTTTTTGATGAATAATCTGCAATTGCCAGGCGAGGGACCGGAAGAGCGTTTAGTGGTGAATTGCAAACGGCGCGTTTAATTATTTGCGACTGAATGAAGAGAGGTGCGAACATGGCGATTTTGTTGTCGGAAGTAACAAAGTTTCGGTTCTTTGTGCTGAAAATTTCGCGTTTCCACTCGACTGTTTTCCAATCTTAAGGTGACTTGTGGAAAGTCACGTTAAAAAATGTATTGCGACTCAACAAAAGCAGAGCGATTTTTGCGTTGAGAAGAACAACATTTCTTACATGAAAAGCAATGCTTTGAGCTCACCAAACACGCATGTGAATAAAGGGTAGAAGTCGATTTTTAGAAAAATATTAATTCTCTCAAAATGTGCAACTTAACAAAATCAGGTGGAAGCAGCGCGATTTCTGCGTTGAGAAGAACAAAGTTTGCGGTTTTTATCCTGAAAACTTTCCGATTTCCGCCATCATCAGTTCTTTAGTTACAAATTTTTGTAACAGGTTGTTTGCTTCATTAATAGCCGCGACTAATCTGGCTTCCAGGTAGGACTCAAAACTACAGGAGATAAAAGAATGGGGATTTTTGCGTCGGGGAAATCGCAGTTTGCCGTTTTCGTGCTGAAAAATTCACTCTTCTGCCTTCGATGCCGGTTTAGTGACGCATTTTTTTAACAATATTGCGACTAACTTGGCTGGCAAATGGAAGGTGAGTTCAGAAATTGTGATTGAACGAAACGAGATAGAGACGTGGGGAGTTCAGCGTTGAAAAGAGCAAAGTTTCCTGTCCTTGTGCTGAAAATTTCGCTTTTCTATCATCATCAGGCATTCAGTTTAAGTGGGTTTCTCTGGCCGCTTGCGCAAGAACCAGACCGTGCAACTTTTGGTCTAGGCCTTGCTTCGCTTGGACTCTAGACCTATTAAAATGAAACGTAATTTTCATATAAGAATTAAGGGTTTATTTTCGTCGATAAACGAAGACAGTCGATGTTTTTTGCGCTTGGGAGCCATGCAGGATTTGCGTCGGATAATCTGTTGTGTCCCCATCATGTGACATGCGGATGGAAACAGATTGCGCGCATCCGAGCAGGAAAAGAGTGACCGAGCAATATGCCGCCAAAACGGGCAATTTTCCTGCTGCAACAGCCGCCAGTAATCCGGGACGTCACGTGCTCTTTGGCGGCAGGATCATCGGGGGTGGCTTTATTGAGACGCGGGCCACCGAAAGGGCGAACTCTCTACGTCCGAGCTGAGTTTTTACTTTTTTCAGTCCATTCGTTCCTATTGGTCATATTCAACAGAAAACGACACCGTTAGTGGTTTAATCGGCATGTGGCTGTTTATCTGGCACTGAACCAATTCCTCGTTTTTCACGCACAAATATTGATACAAACGAAAATAAGCAACTGACAAGAAGAGGCGCTGTCTGAGCGGCTGATGGATCGGTCCAATAATAAATTAATCATTGTAAACGTGGCATGACGTCAATAGTGCTAATTTTTCCGGATAAACAGGCAAACACCACCATATGGATGTTTTCCTTAATTAATTTAATCCTTCAGGTTAATTAATTAAATTCTTGCACGTCCCGATAGTGTCAGCCGGCCTGAAAGTGTCTTATCAATGCCGATTTATCGCATGTGAAGCTTCAAAACCTTTTGTCGAACAGCACATGAAGACTATAGGGAAATAATAGAAAAAATTGAAGTTTTTCTTCTTCTAAAAGGCGACTTGAGAAAAATACAAGCCTTTTGAGCGAATTAATTTTCGCTTCCTAAACCCTTTAGATGCCCATTTTAGAGCGTATATGACTTCTGTTCTTTCTCTACTCTCCCCAGATGAGCTCTGAGAATTGGGCATTTTTGGGCCTCCGATCCAGCTTCGGGTTGTTTAAACAAACCCACTGTGTCTAATCGTGGGCGGTCGCCCTCGAGCAAACATTTCCCCCAGGGGGAGCGCTTTTCARCCTCGCCRAAAGTCCCCCAAAACGCTCGTGGTTACTTTTGATCGATGAAGCGAACCTTGACGACAGCGCCTAATTACCTTTTGTGTGTCGCTTTTTGTACTTTTGATTCCGCCCCCTAAACCGTTTTCCAGCTTTTGCTTACCTTAAATTTGGATTTTGGCYGACAATTTCACATGGGGTAGCGRKCGATCTCAAAATGCTTCGARTTCTTATCGTAAGGAAGCGAGAAATCCAACGAACTGATTGAAACAGGCGCTAAAGGTTTCAAACTCGAAATAATCAATATTTTTACTCCTTTTAAGATTTTTAAGTGCTTGCG